TGCTTATTATTAATAAGACTATGTTTATATATTTTTTAAGTTTACTCAACTTTATTCCTAAATTCTATTACAATATTTGTGATTAAGGTAATTGCTTCAAAGCAGATACTTCAAATATTTAGAAATCTGTATAAGATTGACAAATATATATACCACTAACCCACAACTTCATTGTAAGGATAAGCATTTTGCCACCTAACAAAATGTCTCCATTTGCATTCTAAGGCTCAGCTTGCTTGTTTCCCTTTCTCTGAATCTTAATACTGTACCACTTTTAAGCCAATGTCTACAAACTTTTTTTTCTTTCATATATTTAATACTGCATTCTAGTCATTTGTGGTTAGGGAGACAAGTTATGTACCACTCAATTTTTCATGGATAGAAGTGAATTTCTTTTTCATCTCCAATTTCTTAAGCAGATATAAAAGGCAGACATCAACCCTATGTGCTTTATTGGGGGGTTTTAGTGGGTCGTACCCAAGTCATGTCATTAGAAAAAGGGCTCCCACAAAATGTGAGATATGGTGGAACAGAACAGAGACACTATGATGGAGTCAGAGAGGGTGGGGGTTTACTAGCCTGACTCGGGATAACAAGAAAAGAGAAACAGAGATGACCCTTGAATCCTGTAAAAGGGGACATTCATCTTTTCAGCTACTGAATGGCTTCTATGCACCAGACACACCACTGGAATGAAAAGACACGGGAGTAGTTTAACAACAACCAAATGTTTAAGCTTATGGATGAGAAGCACTAGACATCATCTGGGTTAGTTTAGAAAAATGGCAGAAATAGAAACAATGTCAGGAGGCTGAGCCATAGGCTCAGTATTCTATGGCAGTGGACACACTAAAGCAAGGGTCAGAGCATGATCACAGCCTACCTTACTCTGAGATGCTATTCCACCGCAGAAAGTGAACCAAGGGAACATCATTCCTTCTGCATAAAACCAGGGGAATGTGTTTTCAGGTATGGGATGGGCAAAGAAAGCTTATCTAGCTTATTTGAACTATTCAAGAGAAAAAGCATAAAACCATAGAATTGTGTTTTTTAAGGATATCTTGCCATCTAACATCAAACTTCTACTAAATTATATACATAGCCTCATTGATATGAACAATTATTTGCTGCTTAGATAGCTAAATGTAGCACAAATCCAACACTTCAGGAAGGAGATCATTACTTTGAAATATGCTAGAAAAACTGTGTTATAGAATTCCTTTCTATAATTATGTTTATAATTTCTGCTTATGGCTGTTATGAAAGTATTCTACCTCTCATTAAGAAAAGAAGAAGTTAGAAGGATTCTAACTCTCATCTATGTTACAACATATCTGCATATGGTAATAATTATAGACTATTGATATACATAAATTCACAATAATTAATGAAGAGTTAAAGAAAGGAGAAACTCTTAGACCAAGCAAGGGAAATACTTTCAATGACATTGACTCATGCTACATTCGTTGGCGATTTACTTCATTAATACATCATGAAGTCTGGGCAGTCATTGTGTTTGGTTTTTTTTTTTTAAATCTTACAATTTGGATAAAATTGTGTAATAATATGGAGGTGGAAGAACTTTTGTGAATTCCAGATGTTTTTAAAACTAAGAGTTCTTTGAGAACTGTATCATCATATCTTTTATCTTTCTGATGACTCCTTGAAAATCAAAAGTAATTAAACTTTGCAAATCACTGATCTTTGGAATTTTTAGCTTAGTGAAAAATGTCTTGCTCTTACATTAATGGCGTTTGGGGTCTTTACAAACTTTGCCTAGGGATCTACAGAAATGCCTTTCACCCTCACCGAAAAGTGAATGCAGCAGCATGATGCACCTTATTTGTTTAGTAAACCAGTCCAAACATTATAAATCCCTTCAGAATGGATGTTTGAGCAATAATCTCCAATATTGTTATCTAAGGAGACTCATATATAAATAGCTATCATGCTATTTTGTAAGAATTCTAAGCAGTATACTTTCCCATTCCTCTCATCAGTATTAAATCCTTCTCTCCCTCTTTTCCCTCTTTCCTTCCTTGCTTCATATCTTTTATTTCTTTCACCAACTAAAAATGAAAAAAAAAATTCCGTGACAATTCCAGGCATATTGGCATATGATGGTCACTCCAAAATGTATTCGGCTATATAAAGACTAATGCCATCATAACTTATACTTTATATAAAATTTACTTTTATATACCCTTGTTATTATTACTTGATATTTTATATTTAGATATTTTTTTTCTCTGTTAGTTGACTCTAAAGATGCAACCAGTTTTTACTGAGGAATTTTTTTTCTGATAGATCTACATCGAACACTTAAATAAGGGCTAGAAATTTAGTGTTTAATACATACACAATTTCCTTACCCAAAACATATAGTTGCACCATGAATATGAGTCGTCATATTCCTTTGCATGTAAACTATAGAACGATAAGCCATGCCCTTTAACAGCACTACTGATGCTATACTTAGAGATAAAGAAAATAATGTATTAGTTTAATATTTTAGTCCACTGAAACATTGCTGTTAACTTTCACTCAAATCTTTAAAATAGATGGATTTACAATTTAGTGATAGTATTTTTTTCACAGAATGCTGAGGAGCTGGTGATCAAATAGAAAAATTCAATGTCTTTAGTCTAGAGGAAAATGCAAACAAGTATTATAATGAGACACTATTTCACATCCATTGCAATGGCTGTGAAAAGGGAGAGAGATAACATGCATGTTGGTTAGGATGTGGAAAACCTAGAACACTGATTGCTTCTGTGAATGTAAGTATCAAAGCCTATTTAGAAAATGATTTGGCAATTCTTAAAAACCTTGAATATGGAGTTACCAGATGGCCTACTTATTCTAGCTCTGGGTAGCTTATGAAGAGAAATAACAACAGGTGTTCATATAAACTCGTGCATTAATGTTAATAAGCAAATGATTTATAATGGCCAAAAAAGAGTAGCAACCCAAATGCTCATTAACTTGCAAATGAAAAAAATAAAAAGTTATATACCCTCCAAATAAATATTTATTTTGCAATTAAAAATGAATACTATTTTAATGCTACAAATTAAATACTGTTAAATGCTAACTTAATATTACCAATTAATTCTAGAAATCAAATATTATTTAGCAATTAAATACTATGCGGTAATGAGCACCCACAAAGTATTACCATATGTATAACTTTGATAAATTTTAGAAACATGATGGTAACAAAAGAAGACAGACACAAAAAATCACTTACTGTACAGTTTTATTCTATGAAATAAATAGAAAGGCAAATATTTAGATTTAGAAAGTAGATTTGTGGTTTCCAAGGCCGGGGATAAGAATGTAAAATTACTAAAAATGGACATGAGGTTTATTTTTTAGAATGATAGAAAATGTCCTACAATTGAGTAGTGTTGATATTTCAACAAGTCTCTATAGACACTAAAAATTATCAAAATGAGCATTTTAAATGGGCGAATTTTTGGTATATATGTTATATCTCAGTAGAGTAGTTTTTAATAGGTAGTGAAGAAGAAAGAAATATGACCTGGATAATAAAGATTGCTGCTATTTTTTTTTTCATATTATTTTGCTGGAGCTGTCAATACTGGTACCGCAGGAATCTTAGGATTCTAGCAAGGGATCCAATGCCACTTAATGAGGAAGCAGAATGAGTGTGATGAATGATAACACAATGAAAATCTTAGAACTATATTAACATAGAAATGATATACCATAATAGCTGTAATTATCAAGGATCATATGTTAATATATAGAAATGAGAGAACAAAATTAAGAAACTACATATTAAAAGAGGTTTCAGACACATCAGAAACAGTTTATTTAAGAAGTTTAGGGGCAGTGCATGTAGCTCAGAGAGTAGGGCACTGGTCCCATATACTGAAGATGGCAGGTTCTAACCTGGCCCCTGCTAAAACTGCCACAACGACAAAATTAATTAATTAATTAATTAATTAAAAAAAGAAGTTTAACCATACCAGCATTCTTAAAGTGTCCTATGTGCCATCTGATTTGGAAAAGAGCAATATTCAACCTTGTGTGAATTTCTGACTTAGAGTTAGAACAGAGAAACTTCCACTAGTTTATATGGTTAGATGATGGTGCTGAGGTTTTTTTAATTGCAAATTTTTATAGCTGCCTTTCTGATAACAAATTCAAGATAGCTCTGCTACCTGTGCTATGGTACTAGATAAAACTCAGACTGACAAATAGCAGCAAGGTTTGTGTAGATTTTTTTTTTTAAAGGCTTGTGCTTGATAGCAAGAACATAAAATTCATTTATTTCTTGATATCTGCATGGTTGTTTTGTCAGGGTTAAGACCCCATCAACATTACACTCAACATGCTTAAGAATGCCTGAACTACCTGTTCTTTTGAACTGGATTAGTCTAAATTGACTGATACTAAAATTCCGATTTATAGAGAGACCTAGATGTATAGAATAAAATCAAACAAAATATTACATAATAGGAGGTGTAGCTATTGAATTAAAGTAATAAATAAGCATTAAAGAACATACTGAAGTGGATATGTTAAAGTGTTCAGAACAGCCAAGCTCACTGTCTCATGAATTTGAGAGGCTAAAATGGGAGGATCTCTTGAGGTCAGGAGTGTTATGAATATGTTATGAATAATGCAATTTTTAAACTTACTTTCCAGATTATGGATAATGATTATCAGAAATAAAACTTCCATGAATAAGTTGTAGAAGAACTATAGTTTAAAAAGAAAAAAGAAAGATAAACCTTAGAAGTGATCCCTCCAATCCCCTCCCTCCACCCATTCCCACCTCCCCCCTTCCCGTATTCTTACCCCAGAAGTGCATTAATGTACTTAGTTACCATTCAATTAAAAAAAAAAAAAAAAGACAAGACTGAAAAAAAAGTTGTACTAAGATATTTTTGCCTTCCTTCCCTTTCAAAGTCAGGAAGTGTTGGTTGAGGTTATTCTAAACTATCCATCTATGAAATACATTTTAAATGTCACCTCAATTCTCCAGGTCCTCTTTTGATGAAAAACTTAAATATTTTATCCCGCATTTGCTTGGTTTTTACAACATAGACAATGGGGTTCATCACGGGAGGAATGAGGAAGTGCATGTTGGCTAGGGTCACGTAGACATGTGAGGGAAGTCTTGAGCCAAAGCGGTGCAGCATTGACAGACAGATCATGGGTGTGAAGAAGATAATCACAGCAGAGATGTGGGAGACACAAGTGTTGAGGGCCTTGAGACGGCCACCATGGGAAGCAATGCTCAGTACAGTTTTCAGAATCAGCACATAAGAAAAGAGAATGAGCAAAAAGTCAAGTCCCATAGTAGACAGTGCCACAAATAACCCTAAACTGCTATTGATCCTAGTGTTGGAGCAGGAGAGCTTTATAATGTCAGGATGCAGGCAGTAGGAGTGAGAAAGTACGTTGGAGCGACAGAAGCACAGCCTCCTCAAGAGGATAGGAAGAGGCACCTCCACTGCCAAGGTTCTCACAAAAATAGCCAAGCCTATCTTGGAAATCACGCTATTGGTGAGGATGGATGAATAGTGCAATGGACGAGAAATGGCCACATAGCGGTCAAAGGCCATGGTCAGAATAACAGCAGACTCAAAATTCTGGAAGGTGTGAATAAAGAACATTTGGGTGAAACAAGCAGAAGAGGTCAGCTCTCAAGCATCCACGCAGAAAATCATCAGTATTGTGGGGAAAGTGAAGAGGGACAGCCCCAGGTCAGAGGCGGCTAGCATGGCCAGGAAGAGGTACATGGGTGCATGGAGGGTCTGCTCCTTCCAGATAACTGTCATGATGGTCAGGTTACCCACCAAGGTAATGAAGAACATGGCACAGAAGGGTATGGAGATCCAGATGTGCACAGCCTCCAGCCCAGGAATGCCTGTCACCTGGAAGGTGGAGAAGGAGTTTGTGCTATTCATAGGAAGCATGATGCCAGGATGGCATACTTCTCCTGGAATGAAAAATGTTATCTGAGAAACTATTGTAGATATTGGGCTTTGGGATTTTAAAATCTAAGTGTCTATACTGTAACTTAAATTTCTGCTGGTCTTACTAGTCTTATTACTGTATTCCCTTTAACTGACACTGAGTGTGCCAATGATGACCAGCCATTTCTATCAATATACCTATTAGTGATCTAAAATTATGAGGAAACCTCCTTCAATATTATTTTTTTCTCAGAAAACATGTACTATATTTAAAAATCTTCATTTTATTAAATTGATTAAAATTAATCTATTCACTTTCTAAAATACAATATTGCAATGCATTTATATTTAAATAAAATTCTGATTCATGCTTTTCACTGATTTTATAGTGGTACATTACCCTGGATGCTTCTTAGATCTTGTTATACCCTGAAACAAGTTATAAATTACTAGTTATAGAATATGAATATGTTTATAAAAAATTAGAAAAGCATATACTATAATGAGATATAGATAATTTAGCATAATTAATAAATGTTTTTTTATTAAACCTTAAAATAATTTGTTTCCTCTATCAGTTATTACAGATTTAGAAGCCCTGGGTTATTTAGTAAAATCAGTATATTATTGTATGTGTCCTTTCATGTAGAAAAGTAGTTCATTTATAATTAATAACAAAAATAAGCAACACTTGATTAATTGCATGAATTATCCATTGCCCATTTATTCGTATCATTCATTCATTTATTTATGCAATAAATTTTGATAACTTCTCTAAGAACTAGACAATACTGATATAGCACTATCTAAACATAACTTCCTATCCTTGCATTGTAAGGAGAGAGAGGAGTATGATAATTAAATTCTTAAGTGAAATCATAATGTATAAATGATAAAAGCACTTACATTTCATAATATATCAAAGATTACAATTAAATATCAAAGATGCTATAGCTCTTTGTTCTCAAAAATACCTATACAAAGACATTGAGACTTTTTTTTCAAAACTGATGCATAGAATCTTGGCTGAGATGCCTATTCAAATGTTCCTGGTATCCAACTTTTTATCCAAGGAAGAATCCTATACAAATGAAAATTGTTTCTCATCAAAATGCTTTGTCCTAATGATGAAGACAAGACACATGTCTGTCTTGTCTATTGGTCACTGCTTTCTAAAGGTTCCTACTCTGTTTATCAAAACATCAACCTGGAATATAGTTTTTAATTGTATATACTTAACTAAATAGCATACAGTTTGCATGACAAGAAACTCAGAAAATTGAAATCAATTGAAGAAACCTAATCTGGTTATGGTTTTCTTTAATCTTCACTGTTTCAATCGGAATAATTTTGGATAAGCAAGAGAGATAAGGACCAAAGGCACCCATTTATTTCTCTGTCACTCAAAATACAAAGAAAAAAGAAGAAGAAGAATAAAATAATAAAATTTAACAGTTCCAGACATGGAAGCCCATGTACCACAGCACTGCCACTCCATTCGTGGCTTTTGAGGCTCTCTTAATCCTCTCTGACAGTGTCAGAACACGTTAGTGTTATTGAGTGTGGTCAATATTAACATAGACTAGGATGCTCCCTTCTTCCTATTCGAGATTCTTAAAGGAATTACTGTTTATTTGGGTCAGAATTAATCTCCAAAACAACTTGGGTTTATTTTGGGGAAAAACAATACAAATCTCCTCCCAGGATATTCATAATACAAAAATCTGTGATTTCTTGTGCTATGTGCAATCTTTGATCTTGTTTCTACGTTCAAATGCAACTAAATTATGATTTCCTTCTCACCTGACATCTCAACGCAGTTTGGCTGCTTGATTTCTGCAGTAACAGAACAACTTTGTTACAATTCCAAAGCCTAAAATACTTGGGACTCAGTTTTATTTTTTTTTAATAATTATTCATTAACAGCTACCTGAGAGGAAAGGAATCTTCTGGGAGTCCTTTCTTTTTTGGCTTTATTTGAAGTTATTATTAACTCTTAAGTGCTTGATGGGAGTGCTCTAGGAATAATCTAGATAGATTTATAGTATTGCATATAGTAGATACTCAGTGAGTATAAATTTTAACTCAAGTGTCATATTTAAAATGGCTTACCTATAATCTGGGAGCATTTAGGTAATGTTTTCTGGAATGTGTTTCAGGATTCCTTGGATTTGCTTGTAGCAGAGCATCTGTACACTACCTTATCTCCTCTAAAACCTTTTGAGATTGGGATTTGAAAACCCATTGAATATAGATGATATTATCTGAAATTCTGAAATTGAAGTCTCAGTCTTTCATAGCATCATCCTTCTCCTTCACAATATAAACACAGACTTAGGTGAGAGGATTATTGGAATAATCGTGTGCATAAAAAACAGAAAAACAAAAATGAGCAAACAAAAAAAACACTAATTTGAGAAACTTGTAGTAATAGCAATTCAAGGTAAAAATTATATGAGTGAGTCAAAGCATCAGTGCATGCAGTATTACTTACTTTTACCTTACTTTTACTTACTCTTATGCCACTTACAACAGAGTGGCATAAGAGTGTGATGAGTGTTTTTCCAAACTCCATTTTAATGACAAATCAAAAGATTTGGAGGAATTTTTGGAATTTATTTGTTATGGTAACTATCACATAGAGAAGCTTATGAAAGTTAACTGACTTTCTGAGTTGTCATTTGTAATTCACACAAAGGGTATCTCAAAGGATGTCAATAAAGGATTCCTTTATCTAGCCAATAATTTGTTGAACTTTATTTGCCATAGATCATAAATATTAGCCCTGTTATCAAGCTATTTGTTTATTTTATTACAGCTAATAATTTCATGGAATCTCCATTCTTTGTCCATATAGGTAGAGATTTTTCTAGGTGCAAAATATTGCTGTTACGTTCACAATTTTTTCCCCACTAGATATGGGTATTCAATAGACCTATTTTCTCTATTCTCAAACATTTGAGCCTCTCCCTGGTTTTCCTTACTGAAAATAAATGAGCCATGAATCTTGAAAAGACTTTTTTTGTGTCTAAAGCAAATGGAGGAGAAGAAAAGAATAGTAGAAAGTTTTCAGAGCAAAAATTATGTTAATTAATGACATGTGTTGCTAACAGGATGTAGAAAAACAGCTAAAGTTACCCTCTGTGTACAATTTGCTCACTCTCTTCTTTCCTTTTATCAATTTATATGCATTCTAAGGCTGCTAATTTTATGGCCTCTACATTTGAAATTTGTTGAATTCTTCTTGAGTATATACAGTTGAATATCAGGAGGTGTCTAAAAAGCTAATGTCTCCATCTTTGGTAGGGGATACTTAGAAGGCTTTTGCTGTCTCTTGCCTGGTTCATTAGGACAGCTCTTGCTAATGTTCTTGGCCCTAGTCCCTTCCTTCTACCTGTACTCAGCAGTCTGAAGATATTTTTTCATTTCTAATACAAATGGAGAGAAGTGACTGGAGACTGTGTGCAGATGTTTGTCTGAAGGAATATCCCAATATCATCCCAACAAATAAAACGCATCTTTACAGAGATGTAGAAATAGAATTATATTTTAATTACTTTGTGACCTTAATACAAGGTGAGGAGTATTATATTTTGTCCTCTTCACAAACACATGCTGAAGTCATTTCTTTTAGTACATAAATACAATCTCTTAATTTTTAATCATGACTAGCTATCCAAAATCACACAGAATATAACAAGAAGTCTTATTTTGATATGAGATTTATAGTAATTATAGTAACAATTTGAATTTCTGGTCTAATTCCCATAATCTCTCCACTGCCCAGATTTATGGCAGTAGAATGTGTTTTTGTTAAGAATACTTTTCTGAACTCCCAAGAGGAAACTTTCCTGTTAGGCTAGGATTGATGCTTTAACAGCAGAAAGAAATTATTCTATGAACGACACCTATCTTTAACCTTCTATATTTACAATATATGCATTTACATCACAAAACTATATGAACAACCTGTATTTCAATAGCAAAGCAAGAATATGGGAGACTCATGTTTTCATAGAATTACTCACCATGAGCATTTTAGAAAATATTAGCATAGAAGCAGGAGGCAAAATATATATATCTTTATTCTCTTGAAACATACATTCAATTATGGAACATGATATAAAATAAGTAAACAAAAAACACACAAATATAACAAATACAACAATGTGCTAGGAATGAAAATTTTTTAAAAATGTAACATAATAAGTGGCAAAATTAGAATATCATATATCTGATTCAGAAAAAAAGTATGAATAGAACTTAAGTGAAAGGAGCTGGGGATGTTATCTGGACTATTTACAATATTATGGTCCAGCATATATATTTTTTCACTACACCACTAAAACTAAATTTAAAATATTTGACCAGTATCTGCCTTTTTTTATATCTGTTACTGGGCTTCTCCCAGAATAATTTCTAATTCTTCTACAACTTCTTTTGTAATTAAATCATTTCTTATTGTTTTCTAAGTTTCATAATTCACAGGGATCCATGCTTGAAACTGTTCCTCTTCATTTCTAAAAGAATTGAACCAAGAAAAGAGCTTTCATAATATTATTCCACTGTGGGAAGTAACTGAACACCCTCTTGTATCCCACCCCTTCTTGAATATAATTGTGTTTTTCTTTCATGTAGGTGTGTAGTTATCTACAAGTTTCAACATAGTATTAAGTACATGGGATGCTTACTTTTCCACTTCCAAGATACTTTAGTTCGGAGAATGTTCACCAAATCAATACAGGTAAATACAAAAGATGCAAAGTCTCTATCTTTTTATAAGGTTGAATAGTGTTCAATGGTATACATACACTACCATTTATTAATCCATTCACGTGTTGATGGCCTCTTGGGCTGTTTCCACATTTTTGCAATTATGAATTGAGCTTCAGTAAATATGTGAGTGCAAATTCCCTTATGATAAAATGACTTTTCCTTTCTTTTCAATATATATGTAGTAGCAGAACTGCAGGATCAAATAGAAGGTCTGCTTTTAATTC